TACTCTGTTTCTAATTATTTTGGAACTTGCAATGGGATGCTTTCTCTATTCCAGTTCAGGAGAATGCCAATTTGGCATAGCATTCCGCAGCGTAAATCAAGAGAGGCAATCGGAGCAATGCAGTGTAAATGGAAACACGCGGACTCCTCCTTCTCCTTCATTAGATATGTGCTATCCACTTGGATGACAAGTGCTTTACTCAAATTGGTTTTGTCAGAACTGACAAGCAGAAAGGAGGGCTTATTCCCCATCCAGATGCCTTACATTCTGACATTCAAGTGAAGTCAGTGGAGGTCTCTCCCCATTGACTTAAACTGACCTGTGCATTGGAAAGACATAATGTTTGCACCCAGATTAGGGATAAAACAAACAGTATAACTACCTAGCAAAATAACACCATCACAGTAGTTTAAGGAGAAGAATTTGATGTTTAAGAGAATATAAATTTTTGTGTTTTTCTGCAAGCATTCTGAATAATTTATAGCGCTCTCTGGGAGGTTTACAATGTCAACATATCCCCCCACCCCACTAAATGATCTGGGTCTTCATTTTACTGACCTCGGAAGGGTGGAAGACTGAGTCAACCTTGAACCTGTCAGGATCGAACTCCAGGCTGTGGGCAGAGTTAGCCTGCAATACTGCATTCTAACCACTGTGCCATCACGGCTTACTATTACAGTATTATAATTGGAAGCTGGTCAGAGGCAGGCTTGAATGATAGCATCAAGGCTTTGTAGCAGCTTTGGGTGGAAGTACCGGGACTCACATCAATGCACATTCAATATCTGGATTCACATCAATACACATTCAGATATTTGGGAATTATCTTGCATGATCCAGTCCTAGGCTGGATCTTTTAGCATCCATTAGCATCTCAACTTTTAGGAACTAAACGTGATACAGGAGGAATAGGAATAGGAAGAATAGCTCAACAGACAGAAGCACTGTAATTTAACACCAGCTGTCTGCAATTAAAGTAAGATCGAATCTCGCCAGGCTCAAGGTTGATTCAGCCTTCCATCCTTTCTAAGGTAGGTAAATTGAGGACCCAGTTTGTGGGGGCAATAAGCTGACTTTGTATAAATATACAAAAGTATGAAGGCTATTGCTTAACGCACTGTAAGCTGCCCTGAGTCTCCGGAGAAGGGCGGCATATAAATCAAATTTAAAAAAAAAAAAAAAAAGGAAAGCACTCCGGGAGTTGAAGTCCATGTATCGTAAAGTTGCCACGGTGAAGAAACACTGCTGTAGAATGTATAAAAAGAGGGGGGAAATGACAGGATTAGGCCAGTAACTATGTACAGGTAGTCCTTGGCTTACAATAGTTCGTTTAGTAACCATTCAAAGTTACAATGGCACTGGAAAAAGTGACTTATGACCTTTTTTCACACTTACATTCCCATGGTCACACAATCAAAATTCGGACGCTTGGCAATTGACTCATATTTATGACGGATGCAGTGTCCCAGTGTCATGGGATCACCTTTGCGACCTTCCAACAAGCAAAGTCAACGAGGAAGCCAGATTCATTTAACAACTGTTTTACTAACTTAACAATGGCAGCGATTCACTTACAGGTAATACCTGTGGCACAAAAGGTCGTAAAATGGGGCAAAACTCACTTAACAATTCTCTTGCTTAGCAACAGGCATGTAGTGTCAGAATCTGACATTTCACCAGTGGTCATGGGCAGCACCTGTTGTCTTCTACCCCTTTAAAACCAGCAAAGCCAGCAATCATTAAAATTGCTTGTAGGTTTATGGAGGGCTATTCAAAGGTCAAAATGTATATGTGAAGTTGGGTTGCTCACCAGGAACAGATTCTCCATTTCATCTTGTGTTTGGGTAACTAAGGATGACCGGTGGGCCTGAAACAGCAACATTCTGTTGATGGGGGAGTGCATCGATAGGAAAATATTCTAGGGTGGAGACTGTACTTTCAATTTGCAAGGGGAGTATTAAAAATAAGTGAAAGGCAATAGTTAAGATTATAAAAAAATGTTATCTGTGTTCTATCAAAGTGAAATGAATTGTAGCATCCAAAAGAACATATGTAAATACTTCCACAACATGCGTTTCAGTTGTCATGCAATGAAATAACTCTTCCATAATAGCAATTTCATTTCATGCCAGAGTGCTTCACTTCAAGGCTAAGCATTTACAGTCCCATTGGTACTAGATTGCAACTGAGTGTTTTGTAAAGCATATTTTATTGGTTAAGCAGTGATAGTTTCATACACACGTCTCTCCATATCTATCTATCTAGGGCGTACAGACGTACAAACACAAGTCCTTCTGTTTTGTTGACCCTGGATATGATTATCCTGGTTTTAAACTGTTCCGCTTCCAAGTATGGCTTGAAGAAAAATGTGTTATTTCTTTGGGATGCCTATCAAAACGTTCAGCCATATGACTGTAATTTGAAAACTAGAGTTTAGGATCAAGGATTTTAGCTAGTGATTTGCTAAAATTCCCTTCTGTGTTAGTTTTATACCAGAGGAGAAAAATACATTGTTTTATTATTTTTTTTTGCAAGGGATGGGATGTCTCTGTAATCCTCATATCCGTGTTTCCCCTAAAATAAGACCCTGTCTTATATTTTTTTGAACCTCAAAATAAGCACTTGGCCTTATTTTCGGGGAGGTCTTATTATTTTGGGGTGCGTGGAGCAAGATGGGGCTCCTCTTGCCATCTTACCTGATTTCCAGCTCTGTGTTTAAATATTTTTGGGGAGGGCTTATTTTCAGAGGGAGGCTTATTTTAGCGCATGCGTTCAAAAGCATGCTTATTGTCATGCTTATGGTTGGGCTTATTATCAGGGGATGACTTATTTTCGGGGAAACAGGGTAGTTAGGGATGGGGTTCTTGCCCTAATCCTAGTTATGTGGTGGTTGTATGTTGTGAGGGTTAGTTGCATTGTAGTTCTGCCTTTTGTTGTACAGTGTTTCTCTTGGGTCTCCCAGGTTTCTCTGATTCACTTAATTCCAAGTTAACTCTCCAGCTTCTGGATGAATTCTTTCTTCCATGTTATATCACAAAGGACTGTTTAACAAATTGCACAATAATCAGGGTGGAAAGATACACAATGGTGGGAAGAGGAAATTAGCATCTATCAAAATAAATTCTAAAGCACTCTGGGAATGAAGTAGAACACCAAATGTATCTTTTATAGGGAAAGAGAACTCTTTGGAACCGTGGTGAAATCCAAATTTCACCACTGGGTGTGGCTTGGTGGGTGTGGCTTGGTGGGCGTGGCAGGGGAAGGATACTGCAAAATCCCCATTCCCTCCCCACTCCTGGGGGAAGGATATTGCAAAATCTCCATTTCCACCCCACTCTGGGGCCACCCAGAGGTGGTATTTGCCAGTTCTCCGAACTGCTCAAAATTTCTGCTACCGGTTTTCCAGAACCTGTCAGAACCTGCTGGATTTCACCCCTGCTTTGGGAAATAGACTTTGGTACAATATGAATTTGACATGTTGTGCTAGTTTGCCAAATGTGCACAATATTTGGTGAAAGAAGACCATCGCATATGCAGTTCAAATTAAGAAATGCAATTTTTGGGTGGTTGATGTGGTTTTCCTCTAACCAGGAAAAGGAGCTACATAGATCTAACTCAGTGTTACAGCCAGGCCTAGGTCTTTTTGTTACTTGACTAGATATGCTACTTTTGACATATTCCAGGCTGACCAACTGTGAGCTGGATTAAATCCGAAATAAATCCAGCATGTGTACACTTAGAAGCCAATTATAGTATTTCTTCTCAAGTATTACAGTAATTATAGGCATGATCCCTTGAACAGCAAAATTCAATGGCTTGCTTTGTTTAATTATTGTGATAGCAATAGCACTTAGACTTATGTACTGCTTCATAGTGCTTCACAGCCTTCTTTAAGTGGTTTACAGAGTCAGCATATTGCCCCCCAAACAATCTGGGTCCTCATTTTCCCGCCCTTGGAAGGATGGAAGGCTCTGAGTCAACCTTGAGCCGGTCAGGATTGCCCTCCTGGCAATGAGCTGAATTAAACTGCAATACTGCATTCTAACCACTGTGCTACCACAGCTCTTTCTTGAGGTGGCGATAAAAATGCAATCGTGTTTTCAAAGCTATTTGAACTGCAAAGGAACCGTAAAGGAGTCTTCTCTAGAATTTTTGTTGTTGTTGTTGCCCCATTCTGGAACATTCCAATTTGATTCGTTGATGCCAGGGGGAGAAAGGGAAGCAGTTGTTCTGAGGTTCTCAAAGTTCCATGTGGTTCAGCTTCCAGTTATATCTGTTTGCTCTTAGGACCACCCGTTCAATGCATGCCAGGGATTTTGGCAACTTGTACTGTGTTCTATGAACTCCTCTCCTCCTCAGTGTTACTTATATTTCTGAGGTTGCATGCTCCAGTGTTTAGGTAACGAGATTTAAGACCAAGGCTGAGTCTTGTTTAGGCATAGAGATGTCTAGCAAGCATTTGGCACTTTAAAAGCACAGAATAGTGTAAGATGGTCAGATATGGTTGTTGTGTTGGAATATCCTTTGCGGTGGCAAAGATTTTATTGCTACAGTTCTGTTCATTTGTAAGGCCAAAGCCCCCAAATATCTGGGGGGGCTTTGGCAATTTATAAGTCTCTTTCCAATCTGAAACATTAGCAGTAAAAAGGAGAGAATGTGAAGTGTGACATGAATGATATTATTCCTGTCAACATCCATTCAGAGGATTTAAAATGTCCCGAGAATCAAGTCTACTCTTAGAATCACAAAGATCAGGAGATTTCAACCCTTCAAGAGACTTTCTCATTGTCTTTTTATGCTATGGAATGCTGTCCCCGTTCTCTATTCCAGTAGATTGCCAGGACTTCACATAATTAAAAGCATAAGGCCTACATTAAGTAAGAACTCAGCTAGGTCTTCTGTAACAGAACCTGGGAAGTATTCAAAAAGAAGAAATAAAGGAAGTCGTTTGGGTTCCTAGATGACTAGCTGGAATTTCTTTTTCCTTGTTCATCTGACAGCAGCAACAGAAACATTTCCCCTGCCTTTGTGGAAAGCGACAACCTTGCTGGCCTTATCTTCAAGGTACCACCAAAAGATCACTACCAGGGCATCTTTTTCTTACCCCCCCCCCCCGAGTAATGGTATGTCAGAATGACCTTGGGAGACAGAAGGATGAACCAAAGCCATGGGAATGATTGGATAAGAAGCAGCTTAGCCTGCAGAAGGAATGTGAGTATGGCAAACATCTCAGAAGACCTTCCTAATGTCATAGGCTGTAGACATGGCAGCCCAATGGAAAATTCTATTAATGTAATCTTGCAATAAAGTAGAATTGGCTCATCTGGTCTACCTCATAAGGCTGGCATCCTGTTTCAAAGATGACAAGAAAGCTTTCTCTTGAAGTGAGGATCAGCACAATGTCTGCACCTACAGTATCTGTTCTTTGGTTTTCAGATCTCAATTTTGAAGTTCCCCTTTCTAATACTTAGATTTTGCTCCCAACCAAGGGCCTAAAGATGTGGCTTTGCTGGTCGGCTTGGGGCCCCGGTGGTGGAGCAACACAATGGAGGTGGTTGATTAAATAATAACAGATCCCACTCCACTGCCCCCCACTCCACCCCACCCTCCCCATGTGTCTTTGATTTTAACTTTTTAGATTTTAACTTAGATGTAGCTATAAGCTGCCCAGAGTTATCCTATGGTAAGATGGGTGGCCAATAAATTTTATAAATAAATAAAATAAATAAATAAATATATATATAAATAAACCAAGATGGTCTTCTTGTTGGTTCCCAGCTTTTTTGTACTTTGTAACCTGCCTCACAAAGGTAGTCCTGCAAACAAGTTTGACTCTGTTTGAAGCAGGAAATATGGAACCTCAGCTAATCTATAGAGAGTCCCTTCTCCTCCCTTGACAGGATTGTAGTTTCACTAGCTTTCAGGTGGAGTAAGATGATTAAAATAACATTGCCACCTAATAAATCACCTGCCATCATTGCTTTGATCTGTGGCATTTTAAAAATGTTAATGATGCTCTTTGTGTCCGTAACAACACTTTAATGTGACTCTTTCATTACTTCAGTCACGTTTCCAATTACTGTAAATCAAGGCTGAAATGCCTGAGTTATTTTCTTGGAGCGGTTCCTTCTTAATCTTCTCTCTCTGTCTTCTGATACTTGGATTGAGTTGCTCATGAATCTGGTTTGCCTGAAAGTAACCATCTCCAGTCTAGTCTCTTTGACAGGAGCAGTTTAGGTTACAACTTTCAGAATTCACACATGGCAGAATTGATGCCTAGGAATTCTGCAAACTGAAATCCAACATATTTGAAGGAAGGGGTTTCCATGGAAGGGAGGGGGGAGATGGAGAATTTTTTTATAATATAGTTAAAGTACATTTGAAATGCCACCCCTATTTTTACAAGCATGTGATCCATATTGTTATGTATTGTATGTAGTTGTCAGTTGAAGTTCTCAGTCTGGTCCTCTGTTGGAGCGGGAAAATACTCTTTCCTGATTGGTTGTGGGCTGATCAGCTTCCCTATAAAAGGAGCTGTGTCAACCAGGAAGCAACAGTTGCCTCACAGGCAGCATTGAATAAAGAACTGTTAGAAATCACTCTGGCCTCACTTCCATTCTTCACCCAGAACATAACACATATGACATACTTTAAAACTCAGTGTGGCCTTGATTGCCTGGTTGTAACTACTACCTGGATTTTTTTTCCCACACAAGCATAAACAGATAAAGACACATGCACACAGACACACAAACATGTATTCACAGATGCCCTGTCTGGAAGGCAGAAATTTGGGTAAGAGTATTGTAGGAAATGCTTCTCTGTAAGAAGAATATAAAACATTCCCTTACACTTGGGGGGAAAAAAACCCAATATACAGTATGTCCATAAGAGATAGAGGGATTCTAACACGAAAAATTCAGTTATCAAATGTCTGTGTGGCAGGCAGGATCAGAGGCTGATAATGGCAAAATTCTGAAAGTTGACTTCTTTTTATGCTACTATTCTGTGGAAAAAGTACAGACAGGCACCTTTTTAAGTTCTTCACCAAATTTGCTGATGCAGAAACTGACTAGACCAGTGATGGCTAACCTTTTTGCTGTCGCGTGCCAAAAGCAGGAGTTGCGCAGGAGGGTTGTGCACGTGCGTGCCCACACCCATAATTCAATGCGCCCTGCCCCCCGAGCATGCTCGTGTGAACCCCCCCCACACTCCCCACGCTTTTGGCACATGATGGCACGGTGGACCCTGTAGGCCCGTTTTTCGCCCTCTCCAGGCTCCAGAGGCTTTCTTGGAGCCCGGGGAGGGTGAAAATGGCCTTCCCCCCCCAGAGCCCCCTCCCCCGGAGGCTGGAAATGGTCCATTTGCTGACTTCCGGTTGGACAGGAAGGCCTGTTTTTCACCCTCCTTGGGCTCCAGAGCCTTTCTAGGAGTTTGGGGAGGGCGAAAACAGCCTTCCCCACCCCCCTGGAGGCCCTCTGGAGGCCAGAAATGTCCTGTTTGCTGAGCTAGGGCAACGCTCATTGCCCACCGATATGGCTCCATGTGCCACATGTTCACCATCATGGGACTAGACCCTTCCTCAAAACTGAATCTAAGGGTTTGGAACAGAAGGTGAAGATCAGGTTGTCCAATTGTCTGCCAAGTGCAAAAATTCATTTCTGCAGAAATCTGCTTTATTTCTGGGATATCTCTGAAGAAAATAACAATGACATTTTAAGGTTGGTGCTCCAACTTACAGTCATTGGCCAATAGGACAAGTTTCCTCAGAAAGTTCTTCCTTGGGGATTTAATGGAATTTGGAAGTCAAAGAGGTGCAGGTCGCTGGAAACATCAATGGCAGATAGGTTATTCTGACACTTCTCTTGGTAACCAAGTAAATGGAAGAATGCCACATTCTTGAGAAGTTTCTAGGAGTTCCTCTGCAATTCTCTTTTCCGTTGCAAAAATTTCTAAAGGAAATTCTTTCTTATCAAATTGAGCCAGTTGCAAAAAAAGGCAGGAGAATCCTCTACCCAATGCAAGGAGAACGTTTTTTATTTCAGCCCCTTTGGCTATGTTTGTTTCTTTGCCAGGTCTATATCTGTATGTTGCCAGATGGCCATTCTTGATGTGGTAGGGTTTTGTTCTGAGTATTTCCTTTCATTTACAAATAACCTCATTGGAGAATTTTAATCGGAGACAAACTTTTCTGGGAAATCTTTAACACTGGAAACTCTTTTAACTCACATAGTCTAATCTACAGCATTCATGAGCTAGGTTAAAAAAGAAATATCGAATGAATGAAAGTATTTCTATTGCCAGTTGAAATTCATTTCTTCAGTAAACCTGGGAAGGAAACTTGAGCGCAGAGCAGCTGGATTCTCAGCTGCTTCATCTCTAGAAAGAGTGCAGAGAAGAGCCACAAAGACGATTGGGGGATTGGAGGCTAAAACATGTAAAGAACAGTTGCAGGAATTGGGTATGTTTAGGGGGTTTTTTCCAGCATTTTATTGCTTTTTATTGTTTTTCTATCACAAATTCCATTTCTAAATTGAACAGTGTGTTTTCTAGGTAACAAAAGTGTTAAAATTTAAACATAATCATTATCATAACATTATCAAACATAATCATTATGATCCTATCAACATACAAACATATAGTAGACACTACCAATCATTGTTATAAAGTATACTATCTTCCATATTAACATCAATTGTATAAGCATCAAAATGTTTACTAATCAATTTTTCTTTCTCATATAATCTATATTTCATATAAACCCATCCATCTGATCTCTGTATCGATCAACTAACCATTTGTAAAAAAGTTCCCATGTCATAAAATATTCAAAATCTTCTTTTTCTTTAATTTTTAGCATTAACCTATCCATTTCTGCACATTCCATTATTTTTTTGGATTATATTCTCAACTGTGGGGGTTTGTTGATTTTTTCAATATTGTGTGTATACAGTCCTAGCTGCTGTTAAAATATGTAAAGTTAAATATGTATTACCCTTATTGTACTTTTCTGGTAGCATGCCCAGCAGGAATATCTCAGGTTTCAAGTCTATGTGTTGTTTTATCATAGGTTCTAGCCACATGCAAATTTTCTTCCAATTTTTTTTTTTTGCTTTGGGACACGTCCACCACATGTGATAATATGAACCTGATGTTTGGTTACATTTCCAATATTTGACAGATTTATCTTTGTACATGGGTATGTGTAGTTTAATGAAAAGAAGGTTTACAGGAGATACAATAGCAACCTATTCTCCAAAGCACCTGAAAGCAGAACAAGAAGTAATGGATGGAAACTAATCAAGGAGAGAATCAACCTAAAACTAAGGAGAAATTTCATGACAGTTAGATCAATTTATCAGTGGAACGACTTGCCTCTAGATGCCTCTAGCATTTAATAGTGCCCCTTGTATCTTAAGAAGGAAAACAATGGCATTTGAGTGCAGCCTTGTTGTGTCTCAGTTTATAGTTGAGGATTCCATAGATCATAATAATTTGGATCTGGAATGTATATAATGAAAGCATCCTTCTATGTTTCTCCCCAACCACCTAATAATACTTATAAGGCTTATCATTCAGAAGAAAGCAAGTGTCTCAAGCACAACATAATGGAAGGAAAAAAAGCAATGCAGGAGCATTAGAAGGCAGAGCTACATGTTCCACATGGCTTGTACTGCAGTCTTTCAAGCTATGCTAAATGAGCTCTGATGACACAATGGTTAGAATGCAGTATACAGGCTAATTTTGCCAACTGCCAGCAGTTCACTTCTTACAGGCTAAGGTTGATTCAAACTTCCCTCCTTCCAAGGTCAGTAAAATGAGGACCTTTTTTGGGGGGGGGGCAATATGCTGACTCCGTAAACTTTTTAGAGAGGACTATAAAGCACTGTGAAGTGGTATATAAGTCTAAGTGATGTTGCTTTTTTTTTAATGCGGCATGGATGGAGCAAAATCCAATTTTACATCTAATGCAGCAAAAGATTTTAGGGACAAAAAACTAGACTAGAAAACCCGCCCCTTGCCATAGAGTCTCTTCCTGGTGCACCGTGCTTTTCCTCCCCATAACCGGAAGCTCCTCTCAAAATTGTGGCGGTGACAGGGAGCTGTAACAGAGGGATGAAAGAGCCACATGCGGCTCCAGAGCCACAGATTGCTGACCCCTGGACTAACATAATAGTAAGACGACAGCTGTAGTGGGATGGATTCTTATTTCTTTCTGATTTTCAGCCAAAATCTAAAAACACATTGAAATTTCTGTTGTTTAGTGCTTTTAGGTTCTAGGGATATGTAATCTGCTGCTCTGGAATGTCAATTCAGTCTGCTTTGA